TCTTTTTACTCTTTTGGAGACGTCTTTTGATAAGCATAAGTGTTTAATTTTTAGGAGGTCTCATTTATCTAGTTAATTTTCTGCTGTTTGTGAGTTTTTAGTTATGTTTGGTATTCTATTTATGCTATATATTAGGGCCCCTAGAGTTGTTCGTATTTTTTCTTCCATGATCTTTATAGTTTTAGGTTTTATATTTAGGTCTTTGATCCACGTTAAGTTAGTTTTTGTGTATGGTGTGAGATATGATTGTTTTATTTTTTTTACAATGGACATCCAGTTTGGCCAGCACCATTTGTTAAAGAGACTATCTTTTTCCTGTTTAATGAACTTTGGCCCTCTGTAAAGATCAGCGGTCATAAGCTGATTAACGGTCTGTGTTCTCAATTCTGTTCCACTGGTCTATATGTCTGTGATTGTACCAGTAGCAAGCTGTTTTGACTACTGTGACTGTATAGAAGCTTCTGAGATCAGGTAGTATGAGGCCTCCTACTTCGTTCTTCTTCAGTATTGCTTAACTTATCCGGGGCCTCTTTCCTTTCCATATAAAGCTGGTGATTAGTTTTTCCATCTCAATAAAGAATGCTATTGGAATTTGGATTGGGATTGCATTATATCTGTAGATCGCTTTGGGTAGTATTGACATTTTCACAATGTTGAGTCTTCCTATCCATGAGCATGGTATGCTTTTATATTTATGTAGGTCTCTTTTGGTTTCTTGCAGTAGTGTTTTGTAGTTTTCTTCACATAGGTCTTTTACATTTATTCCAAGATTTTTGGCTGAGCAACTGGAAGAATGAGGAAGGCAGTGGGAGAAGCAGGTCTAGGGGAGGGGGAGGTCAGGGATTCAGGTGTGGAAGTGATAAACCTGGGATGCACTTTAGATCCCCAGGTGGAGGTGTCAAGCAGAAAGTTGGATACACTCTTCTGAATTTCAGCAGAAAGGTCAGGGCTAGAGATGGCAATGTGTATATGATATTTAATGCCATTTAACTGGATAAGATCATGAAACAGCAAGTGTAGATAGAGCAGAGAGGTCCAAGGACTAAGCCCTGGGGGACTCTGAAGCAAAGAAGAGGAATCATCAATTTTGTTCATGGCTCTGCTCCCCACTGCCTACAACAGTGCCTGTCCACCCTTTTAACTCAGTACAAAGTTACTCCCAAGGTTCACCCTTCAGCCAAAGATTGGACAGGCCCATAAAACAAAATGAGACTAAATGGGCGTACCAGGGGCAAGGATGGGAAGGCAGGAGGGGACAGAAAAACTGGTAATGGGGAACCCAAGGTCGAGAAGGGGAGAGTGTTGACATGTTGTGAGGTTGGCAACCAATGTCACCAAACAGTATGTGTATTAATTGTTTAATGAGAAACTAATTTGCTCTGAAAACTTTCATCTAAAGCACAATAAAAAAGTAAATAAAACAGTGCCTGGCGCATAATTGCTAAGTCAGTATTTTTTGAATGGCTAGCTGAATGAATGAATGAATGAGTGAGTGAATGGATGGATGGATGGATGGTGTTAGGTGTTAAGAAGTAAGTAAAACAGGGTAATGAGTTAAAGAGTGCATGGGGCATAGAGAGGATGGTCAGGAGAGCCTCTCCGAGAAGGTGACATTTGAGCCAAACCCTGCAGGACAAGGAGAAGTCAGTCACGTAAAGAGTTGCAGAGCAGACCAAAGGTGCAAAGGCCCTGAGGCAGCGACGAATCTGGCTTGTTGGAAGATCATCGTGCTTAGGCACAGTGAGGACGGATTATGCAGGAACTTGCAGGCCCAGAACCTGGACTTTGGATCATATCCTAGGTGTCCTGGAGAGTTTGAAACAGAGTTAAATGATCAAATTAATGTCATAAATGCTCCCTCTGTGGTTTGTGGAGAATGTTCAGTAGGGAGGCAAGAGTGGAAGCAAGGAGAGTGTTAGGAGAGACTTGCACAGCGGCCCAGGCCAGAAATGGATCGTCTGGGATGAAGGCCGTGGGGAGGGAGAGAAATGGGCAGATTCAAGCTATTTTAGGAACAGAATGTCAGGATTAGGATTCAAGAGCCAGTGCTCGTTCAGCTGAACCATGGAGATGTCCCCGCCCCTCCAACAGACTTGGTGGGTGGGGAACTTAGACAACGGCCAGGACCCCAGTAGAGCCAAGTGTTTGCTCTTAGGGTCTCTACCTACTCTCCCAACCCCAGACTCCAGGGGCTGCCCCAGGCTGGAAGATGGGGTAGATGATGGAAAGAGGTGCTTGGCTGGGAGGGTCATTCCATGCTGGGCTCTGGGCCAGGAATCCAGGCAGCTAAGACCTGGGACGGTCCTTCCTCCCTTTTTCTCCATCCAAGTCCTGATGCATGCTCTCTTCCCAAGCCTGGCCCTCCTCCAGTACTTCCTCTGTCCATGTGCAGTGGTTATAAAACATGCCCTCCAAATTCTTCGGCACTCCTCCCATGGAGAGGTGGGGCTCCATCCCCTCTGCCTGAGACTGAGTCCTGTGACTGGAATAGAATACAAGGGCGTGGTACTGTGCCTGTTTTCAGGCTCAAACATTAGAAAATTGGCAGCTCTGCTTCCAGTCTCTTGGGATGTTCATTCTTGGAACCCAGCCACCATGCTGTGAGGAAGCCAAGCATCCACACAGGCCAAGGATAGCTCTCCCACCATCCCCAGCTGAGATCCCAGCTGACAGCCAACATCAACTGCCCCACATGTGAGCCCCAGGCTTTGACCCACCCCAAGTGACATTGCTTTGGAGCAGAAATGAGCTGTCCTGGCTGAGTCCTGCCCAGACTGCAGGACTGTGAACAAAATAAATGATTACTGTTGTTTGAAGCTAATAAATTTGGAGTGGTTATGCAGCAATAGATAACTGGGCTACTGTGAAAGATGCTACATGCCATCCATAAATCCAGGAGTCACCCCTCTCCCCACCTCACCAAATATCATCAAATCTTCCTTCTAAATACCTCTTGAATCCATCTTCTCCTCTCCTTCTTCCCTGCCACCCCATCTGTCACCTGAACAGCTACGTCAGCATCCTAATTTGTCTTCCCCCAACTCAATCTTGACCATACGGTCTGTTTCCTATACAGCAGCCCAGAAAACTTGCTGAAAGCAAATCTGATGACCTCTCCGGCTATCTGCATCCATCTGAAGCACTCAGTGGCTCTCCATTGCTCCTACGATCAACACCTACCCAATTCTTCCCCTTTGGGCTTCAGCACACTGGTCTTTCTTATCCTCCTAGATCCCATGTTCTCTGCCCCAGGACCTTTGCACATGCTGTTCCCACCCTCTTGGATGTCCTCTCTCACCTAGTTAACTCCCACTTATGCTTTAGGTCTTGATGCAAGCATCACCACTTTAGAGAAGTGCCTCTAAGCAAGTGGTTCTCAAAGTGGGGCTCCTGGACCAGTACCATCAGCATCATCTGGGAACTTGTTAGAAACACAAATTCTCAGGCTCCAGCCCAGACCCACTGAATCAGAAACTCTGGAGGGGGCCCAGCTGTCTGTGTTTAACAAGCACTGCAGGTGATTCTGATGCATGCATCTGAGAACAGCTGCTTTAAGCCCTAGCTCAGTTCACGGGCTTTGTTATCTTTTCCCCATCTCCGAATCCCTTTCCTTCAAGCCTCCCGAGGTTTGCATCTGTGGTTACACAGGTCTTTGTGAGATTATCTGATGAACATCTGACCTGAGCACTGTGTCAGGGGCCATTCAGTTTTTGCGCATCACTGCGTCGCAGTGCCTGGCATGCATCAGGGGCTTAAGGGATGTGGGGTAAACATACTTTGAGTGTCAGTCTCCAGATGCTCATGGGTGCCCACCTAATGTGGAGGAGGGGGAAGAGCTGGTATCTTACAGATATGGGACCCTAAAAGTGGCCGAGGGGGGGGTGAGAAACTTTGAGTAACTTGGGGAGGGCTTCAGTCCCCACAGAAAAGGGGGCTGTTCAGAAGGCAGGAAAGGTGTCCAGAGCCAGGGCTTTCCTTCCTTCTCTTGCCCACCTTATCCCTCCCTCACCCTGGCGGAGCCCTCAGCTGACTTTTATTTTGAGCACGGAGCCAGGCCTTGGTCTATGGGCTTTAGGTGTTTTATATCATTTAATTCCCACAACAAGCTTCTGAAGTGTGTATTACTAATATTCCCATTTTACAGATAGGGAAACTGAGATTCAGTAACTTGGCCAAGGTCATACAGTTGCTCAGGGTAGGGCAGGACTTGAACCCAGACTGTGTGACTGATGCCCAGGCCAAGGTCACCCAGATGGCCCAGGAGGAACATGCGGGAGTGCAGTGGGTGGGGAGGGGGGCCTGTGTGGGGCCTCACTTACCCTTCCAAAGGGCAGCCTCAGCCAAAGCTGATGGGGACCCGTGAGGTGGAGGCCCCGTGTTGCCAGACCTTCTCAAATTTTCAAGAGAAACTAAAAATGTGGATTTTAATATCAAATCTCCCTGTTTCTAAATGTTAGCAAGTAATTAACTTTATTTTAAAACTACGATGCTCCCAGAGATGAGACAAATGGCTGAGCCAGACAATATTGGGGGACCAAGTCGAGGGGCGAATGGGCAGCAGAGTGCAATCAAGGAGAGAAGATGATGGGTGTGGGATGTTTGCCTGGTAGTGCACCCACAGTGAGATCAGGGTCCGTGTGGGCAGTTTGATTAAATTCAGGGGCCACCCTCACACCCTCAGTGAAATGCCATTTCCCTTTGAGCAGACCCCTAATATTGACCCTCAGCTTAATGTCTCAACCTCCCAGTGAGCGCCAGGGCCCTGTAGGCGGGGACGGGGTCAGCCTGCCCACAGCTGTGTCCCCAGCTCTGGGCCTATATGCAGAAGGCGCTCACAAAAATGTTCGCTGATGGAAGGAACATGTAAGTCCCCTCTCCCACCCACGCTGGCTCCTCCCCATTCCCTGCCCTAGGCAAGGCGTGGCGATGGGGTGCTGGGGTTAAAAGCCTGCAGCTGGGGTCCCCTAGGGGTGCCAGGGCTGTGGAGCCCGAGGCGCAGCATGGCTACCACGGTAATCACCAGCCCTGTGAGTCCACCTCCCTGCCTCCCCTGGAGCAAGGGACAGGACTGAGGTGGCTGTGGTGGCGTTGCGGGGACAGCTGGGCATCCGGGCTCACAGCCCACACTGACTCCTTTCTTTGATCAGGCAAGAGAGGCTGAGGGTGGAATCCCAAAGTGGGAGAAGGAGGAGAAAGAGGAAGAAGAGAAGGAAGAGGCAGCAGTGGGGGTGTTTGTGGAAGAGAAGGGGGCTCTGAACTCCTCCACAGCTTTGCTACCTCTGAGGAGGAAGGCCCATGATGAGGGCCCCGTGGAGGCAGCAGAGGTGGAACTGGAATTGCATCCCCTGCAGAACAGGTAGGGCAGGCCCTGGCCTTCTCTAACCGGCTGTCTATACTTGGACGACCCCTTCCTGTTTCTGCCCCAGTTCCTCATTCTCCAACGGCCATGGCTGGCCTAAGCCTTGGGCTCTGTGAGCCTTCCAGCCTTAACCCAGCTGAGATTCTGGGTTAGCTAGCTCGGCTCGCCACCCCTGCCCTTCAGGATAACTGACCTCACTCACTTTCACGGCCTGTGTCTCAAACCCTATATCCCAGTTTGTCCTTGAGGCGGAGCTACCCCCTGCTGGCCCAGGTGCTGCCGGGGGTGGGCATGGAGGTTGGGTGCTCTCTGTTTTCTCCTGGCCACCTTTTCCCCTAGGTGGGCTCTGTGGTTCTTCAAGAATGACTTCAGCCGGGACTGGCAGGACAACCTGCATCTGATCACCAAGTTTGACACCGTGGAGGACTTCTGGGCGTGAGTGTCTGCCCTCCTAGAGGCTGGAGTGAGGAGCTGTTAGTGGGGAATCCTTCCTTGTCTCCACCCCCAAGGGGCTGCTTCCTGCATCAGCCCAATAGCCCAGTCCTCCCTGCGGCCTCTCAGCATTTGTGGATGGCTAGGGCTGGGTGAGGGAGCTCTGGTGGCACAGTGGTTAGGCACTTGGCTGCTAACTGAAAGGTCAGTGGTTCAAACCCATCAGCCAGCCACTCAACAGGAGAAAGATGTTGACAGTCTGCTTCCATAAAGATTATAGCCCCAGAAACCCTGTGGGGCAGCTCTACCCTGTCCTATAGGGTCACTGTTTTTGATTTAGGGCCGGGTGGGTTTTGCCCAAGGACTTGAGGCTGGGGCGCAGCCCTCCTGAAGCCTTCTTGGGGCCAAGCGAGTGCCTGGGATATGGGAGAAGCCAGGAACTGACTCTGGGCCGAGTACTGCGCAAGTTCCTTACCCTCTCTGAGCCCATCTCAGCTGCAAAGTGAGGACGAGGCTGCCTCAGAGTGCCTGTGGGGGATACGGGGAGGGGAATATGAAAAGTGCACAGACCCTAGGGGAGGGCAGGGTGGGGGGCAGGCTCCAGGAAAGCCTTGAAGCCCAGCTGGAGGGTGCCAGAAACCAATCCCCCACTTCAAACCAAACCAGTTGCCATGGAGTCTACCCCAACTTACGGCAACCCCACGTATGTCAGAGTAGAACGGTGCTCATAGGGTTTTCAGTGGCTGATTTTTCAGAAGTAAATTGCCAGGCCTTTCTTCCGAGGTGCCTCGGAGTAGACTCAAACTGCCAACCTTTCTGTTAGTAGCCGAGCGTATTAACCATTTGTACCACCCAGGTTGCCTAATCCTCCACTTTGAGTCTAAAAACCTCTCCAGGGGCTCCAGCTTCATCGAGCTTGGACCGTCAGGGAAGGCTCCAGAGACGAGGTGGGATTTGAGCGTTTGGATAGGCGGGGATGGAATTCCAGGCAGGGGAGCCAGTGTGAGCAAAGTTCTGGAGGGCTAAAGGGTGGGGGGAAGGCAGTGGGATCTGGTAATGAGTTGAGGGGATGGGGCCAGTTGGAACCAGGCCCTAAAGGCCTCACCTGTCAGCATGGGGGTGTGTCTCTCCAGGATGTACAGTCACATCCAGCTGGCCAGTAAACTCTCTACCGGCTGTGACTACGCCCTGTTCAAGGTAAGCTCTGCCCCTACCCACAAAGGGGCAGGGGGCTGTTTCCTTCATTCCCTTCTGCTGCATTCCTTTCTCGAAGAGGGGGGGGCATGGACACCTCCCTGGAGCAGAGATGTAATTTCTGATTGCAGAAGGGTTGCTCTGCTAGACAGAAAATCGGACACAGTGTGTCAGGCCCGGGTTGCACCTGAAGGACGTTTTAGAGTTTGGAAGGGGAGGAGGGAGGTCCGCGTTTCTGGTCTGGCTCCTCAGCCAGGAATGCGTGCCAGAATTGCCCAGGAGACCCCTCACCGATGGCCAGGCCATCCCTGGAGGGGCTGTCCCAGCAGGTGTGTGCAGTGGGCCTGGCCATGGTGTTTAGTTTCCACAGGTGACTTGTGCCCAGTTAGGTTTGGGGACCATTGGGCCAAGCCTAGGGCATTTGCCCTTGCTCACTTTGGGGTATAACTTGGAGGGCTTGTTTAATCCACCCGTTTGGCTCAGTGAAAGAGACAATTGCACATACAGGCTCTACAAGGTGACATATTGAAGCTCAAGGACCTCCTGTGGGAGCTCAGAGGAGGGGGTGGCAGGCTGGGTGGCTGGAGGTGGAACCTGCTTGTACAGAGAGAATGGAGGTGAGGACCTACCCATTGTAGGGGCAAAGGGCTGGTGTAGGGCCTGGGCAAAGGGCAGATGAGGCTGGGAAGGTCAGCCAGATTGTGCTTGGTCCCCACTTCCCTTTGAACAAAGAGAGGCATTTGATTTGCCATCCCCGCCTCCCAGGATGGCATCCAGCCCATGTGGGAAGACAGCAGAAATAAGCGGGGTGGCCGCTGGCTGGTCAGCCTCGCCAAGCACCAGCGCCACAGCAAGCTGGACCTCCTCTGGCTGGAGACGGTGAGGGAGAGCTGGCATGGGGGGGTCCCCAGGGGAGGGGCTGGGGCTGGCCTGAAGATGGTGGGGAGGGGGGTGTTCCTGTGCCCCAGCAGGAGGGCTCACTCCGCCCCTCCCTGGGCCCAGCTGCTGTGTCTAATAGGGGAGAGCTTCGAGGAACACAGCAGGGAGGTGTGTGGGGCTGTCGTCAACATCCGCACCAAGGGAGACAAGATCTCAGTGTGGACGCAGGAGGCAGAGAACCAGGCCAGCGTGCTGCACATTGGGTGAGGGGCAGTGCTGGCACAGGGTGGGGGCAGGGCTCTTCTGGGGAAGAAGGTGGGTGGAGGATGGCCTGGCTTGCAAGGGAGACCTCCAGAACTCTCCATGCCCCCTTACCCTTCTTCCTTACCCATCTGGATAGAGGGCTTGGAATCTGTGGATTTCAAATGATTTCTAGCAGAGCTTTCTTTTGGATTGAGGACTCACATTTTGGGTTTCCACCTGGGGTAAAACACAAGAAACAGGAGTGGCTGTGGCTGGAACCGGGGGGGTGCTCAGTGGGCAAAGGAACAGGTCCAGATGGTCAGCTGGAGAGCACCTGAGTCTCATTTCCTTTTCCTCCCCCTTTCCCAGGCATGTATACAAGGAACATCTGGGCCTCTCCACAAAAGCCATCATTGGTTACCAGGCCCATGCAGATACAGCCACCAAGAGCACCAGGAACAAGTTTGTGGTGTGATGGGAGTCTTGACACCACTCACATTTCAATTTCACCACCTGAGCCTGGGGGGGTGTGTGTACACACGGTGGGTGGGTGGGGAGGGGGGAGGCATCCTACACAGCTGCTCCTGGGCACGACTTTGGAGGCAGACAGCCTGGTTCCTCCCCGTGTCCCGGAGTGAATATGAACGCTCCTTAAGCTGAGTGTGGGCCAGGTGTGGCGGCAGTTGGTGGGGTGTGGGCAGCATTGCCTGGAGCCAAGTAGTAGTGTGGGGGAGGGGTGAAGGGAACGTCTAGGTTTCCTTTTTTTCATCTGGGGGTGTAGGGTAGGTTGTTGGTGTGTGGAAGGAGGCCCAGCACTTACTGTAAGGGCCAGACTTCCATTTCAGGAGAATAGGCTCACGCCAACTGCTACTCTGAGGACGGGAGTGAAGGCAACTCCTGTGATCACTCTGCTTAAAAACCTTTAGAGGTTGCCTCCTCTCAGATTTGTAACCTCAGAGCCCACCATGGATCCTGTACTTCCTCTTAACCAGCTGTGAGTGGGTCCCTGGAGTAGGCTGGCTTGGGGACCCCCTGGCACGGCGGCTGGAGGCTTAGAGGCAGAACACTATCACTGGTACAAGGGACCTGTGGGGAGCTGAGAAGGCAGAAAGCCCTACACGGCCTCTTCCTGTTCCTCACCTGTGGTCAGTGGTATGCCTCACCAGCCTTGGGGACCTGGCTGAGGTTGAGGTGGGTTAAGTGTCCCTGTGCCCCAGGAGAGGGAGGTGGTCAGTTTTCGCCATTGTTCTGCTAGAAGATGAAGCTTAAGCTCTTTTCTGTTCTTATTCTAAATAAACACTCACTTTTGAACAAAGTTGTAATTATTTTTAAAGAAGCCTCTAAATTAAGATTCAGAACCTGGATGTGTCCCTGTCCTGTCTTGAAGGGACTCGTGTCAGCCCCCCAGCTACCCAGGATCCTGGCCAGGCCCAAGCTGGTATGCGGGAGAGGGGTAAGGTTGGGAGGCCCCAACCACCAACTGGGTTTGAGCCCCTGGCAAAACTGAAGGGACAGGGAGCAGCAGGCACTGTGCTCACAAGACCAAGGTTCTCGTCTGCCTTAAGTTGAGCCAGTATAGGTAGAGCTGAGTTTTCATTAAGTGAAAATCCATGTGTGATTCGACTGCGTTGTAATAAAACATCCTGCACATGTTAAAAACAATCGGCTCACTATCTCTCTCAACCGAGCAGCAGTTGGTCTTCCCAAGGGAAGGGCCGCGCAAGCTAGGCCGGGGAGTGGGGTGGAGCTGGGACTGAGCCTTGCGGGGTTGGGGTTACTGGGGGTCCTGCATTCCTGCAGGCTCCGGTGGGCACAGGTATGTACTAGCTGAGGGTGCCTGGAAGACGCTGGGGGAGCTCGCAGTGGCAGCCAGCGCGTGGGGTGGAGTCAGGCTCTGGGGCGGAGCCGGAGACTGTAGGAACTGCGCCGGGCTGGGGGCGGGGCCCGGAAAGGATGAAGTCTGGCCGGGTAGGAGCGCCCGAGCAGCGGGGAGGGGCCAGGCTCCGTGGCGGGGCTCGGAGGGACGGATCTGGGCTCCGGGCGGGGCGGCCTGGGCGCCGCCGGGGGCGGTCCCTGAGGGGCGGGCGGGGTCCGGCCGGCGCTCTGTGTGGCCGCGGCCATGAAGCCGCAGCCGCCGGGCTAGGCCCGGGGCGGCTCTAGCCCAGGGCGGCCCGCAGAGGGCTGGACCCGGTTCCTGGCTCCCGGCTCCGGTTTTCGGGCCGGAGGGCGGCCGCTCACCATGCCCGGCAAACACCAGCACTTCCAGGAACCCGAGGTCGGCTGCTGTGGGAAATACTTCCTGTTTGGCTTCAACATCGTCTTCTGGGTGAGCGCGGGGTGGTCACCGGGCCCTGCGCTAGAGGTGGCTGGAGGAGGAGGTGCAGTGCCCCATTGGGAGACCACTTCCTGCTGCAAGAGCTTAGGGTTTGGCACCGTCTCCGCACCCTCTCAGCCAAGGGACAGACCGAGGGAGATGCAGAGAGGCCTGGATTGCCCGGGGGGCGAGTCCCAGCCACCTAGGGAGGGGAGTCTCCCAGGCCTGGGGGAGAACGGGGTGGTGCTTCTTTGAAGGCCCAGGATCATCCCCCTCTTCGCTTGCTGCCCTGGCTTGGCCGGTGGGGAGAAAAGTGTGCGGCGAAAGGAGGTGCCCCCCCGCCCCGCCCCTTGCTCCTTCGGCACCTGGGCCTGGTGCCTCGCGTCTGCTTCCAGCAAAGGGGGTGGGTCAAAGCCATCCCTCCCAACCCGGGTTCTTGGAGGCTACCGGCTGAGAGGGACAACAGCCCGAGTCCTCCGCCTGGGTTGGGGGTCTCCCTTGTTGATAGGTCGGGAGTTGGCCCTGGGGAACATCCCACAGCTGACCAAACCGAGGCTCCAGGGTGGGGCGCCCCTGCCCGGAGAAGGGAGCTGTTTGTGCCCCTCCCAGGATAGCATCTGTGTGTCCCAGGGCCCTGCCAAGTCATCTTCCTTCCCCTCCTCCATCCCATCTCCTGAGGCTGCCGCCTGTGCAGCCCCTTTGCCCCCATCCTTGAGTCAGGATGCCAGGCCCTTTCAGTTCTCTTCAGCTAACTCGGTGGCACTGCCCTCTGCCCACGTGCTGCCCAAGCTGTTTGTCACCCATGTGGTGTGTCCTTGGGCCTCAGTAGTGCTCAGCTCACCAAGGTGTGGGCTGTGTGCAAAGAGCTAGAGGGGAAGTTAGGAGTCCTGGGTGGATCAAGCGCAGCTGTGAGACCTACCTTTCTGGACCTCAGCTTCCCTCCTTGGGAGGGGCCGATAATAGAGCCTGCCCCTCAGGGTTGTTAGGCAGGTTAAGTAATGAATTCTAATACATTGTATGCTCATAACTACCTATTACTGTCTCCGTTTTACAGATGGGGAAACAGGCACAGAGAGGTTAAGTCATTTACCTAGGGTCATACAGCCAGTAAGTGCAGAGCCAGGGTGACAGCTGAGTGGGTGGAGGTGGAGGCAGGGCATTGAGCCAAGGGAGCCCCGAGTGCCAATGGTCAGGCAGGAGAGACCCACGTTTGTTCCTGGGACCCCGGGTGAGAGTGGGGAGCCAGAGCATGAAAGGCTGGGTGTTGGGGCTGAGGGATGGGTTTTCTGTTGCGGGCCTTGTGGAGCACTGGGCAGGGCTTCATTGCAGGAGCAGTGGGTCTGACTTAGCTTTTGGCATCAGGGGCATATCTGTCCTGCTGCCTTGGGGAGGCTGGGTGGGGAGCCCAGGGAGGGGGGCTGAAGCAAGGCTGGGGTGGTGGGAGGGGAAACGTGTGGAAGGCTCCAGGGGAAGTCATGAGGCTGAATTGACGGGATTGGACCCCTGGAGGGGGGGTGGGGTCAGGTTTGGGTCAGGGTGGCCCAAAGTAGGTCCCTATGAAACAGTGAAACAAGCCCAGAGATTTTTTTTTTTTCCCAGTGTAAAGCAGACCCAGGTGTTGCCCTGCTCAGAACCTCTCAGGGGTTTCCCGGTGCTCCTAGAATGCAGTCCAGACTCCTCAGATGGCCTTCCGGGCCCTGTGAGGGTTGCTCTGGGCTGACAGAAACCAGCCCTGGCTGCCCTTGTTTTGCTCCTTGCACCACGACACCTCAGGGCCTTTGCTGGTCCCTCCATCTGGAACGCTCTTCTCCCGGCTGCTCCTCTGCATCATCCAAACCTCAACTAAATTGGCCACAAGTTTCCCTACCACCCCCTCTGTAGTACCTCTCATCACCCCAGTCACTCCCCATACGTCACCCTGTTTTATTATTTTAAAAGATTTGTTGGCATCTGAAATCGTTTGTTTGCTCACTGTCAGTTTCCTCTACTGGAGTGTAACCCCCCTGAGGACTGAAAGCTTATCTCCTAGTGGCTGCTGTATTCCCAGCATTTGGAATGGTGTCTGGGATGGGGAGGTGTCCCCAGCAGGCCGGTGGACTTAGGGGTCTGGAGCCAGGAAGAGGTTTGGGTGGAGATCCTGGAGAGGGCAGTGTCATGGTGGGATGGAAAATGAAGGCGAGTGTGAGTGTGAGGAAGGCAAGGAAGGAAAGAGGGCTGAGGTGGTGGGAGCCCGGGGTGGGACGGGGGGAGGGAACAGCCACGTGCACTGGGCAGGTGAAGGCAGAGCCTCCTGGGAAGGAGGCAGAGAAGGAGCAGCGGAAGGAAGGGTGTTAACTAAGGAGGGGGTTCCGGAAGGAGACAGTGGTCACCTGCCTAAAGGCCATGGGCAGGTCCGGTGGGATGGGGGAGAAGTGATGTTAGGATTTCCCGCTGCCAGACCCAGCATGGGGGAGGGGAGCTGTTTCCAGAGAAAGGGTGCCAGGGTCCGGGAAGGGAAGTGATTAAATGAGAGGAAGGAACCAGTAGAGGAAACGGGTGCTCATGGCCCTGGGCAGTCGGCCTTGAGCAGGAGAGCGCCTTTCCCTCTGAGATTAGACTCCAGGGCCCTGTCCAGAGTCAGGCATAAAGAGGGGATCCGGCCTTGACATCCAGGCTCTTCCAGCAAGGAATTAAGGCAGGATGATTGGAAGGACAAGAGGATGGGGAGAGGGGTACTCAGGGGCTGCCCAAGCTGGAAGCCTGTGGCAAGGATTCAGGAGGCCTAGGTAGAGCTGTGGCCAGATGGTTTCAAGGACAAAGCCCCTGGCCCAGGCCCGGACCCTCAGCCTGATACTGTCCTGCATCAAGGTGCTTTTTCACTCAGGGTCTTTGCTTATGAGCTACAAACCCAACTCTGGCAGATGGAGGTTAAGGGGAAGTTTTAAGAAAGATGGTAGAACAAGATGGGGGCCAGCACAGGGTTGTTGGGCAGCTGGAGGGCTGGGTTTGGGAAGGGGCTGAGGGGAGAATGGGAGCCAGGAGCCCCAGCAAGGGCCTGTGCTGGGAGCAGAGGCTTGGGACACTGCTGTGTGGTGAGAGTGTCCTGGTGGCCCTCTGCTCCAGTTTTTTAGTTCCAAGGAAGGGCTTGGGCCACTTGCCCATCCTGAGGCTAGGGGAGGTGGTGCTCCTGGTTCCAACCCCACCAGGCTGTGTCCTGTAGGGAAGAAGCAGTAGATGTGCTCTTGGGAAGGTAGACTGGATCCCGGATCCCTTTAACAATGCTTTCTCCTCCTCGCCCCTTTCCCTATCACTTCCTATAGACCCTGAGTACTTGGGAGGGGGGCTCTGCCATGGGTGGGGAGAGGAGGGACGAGGGCCTGGTGCTCGGGCTCATCCCTAAGCTCCTGCCTGCTGCTCTTGTAGGTGCTGGGAGCCCTGTTCCTGGCCATTGGCCTTTGGGCCTGGGGGGAGAAGGTAAGGTGATGGGGTACAGTGGGGGTGAGAGGGGCTGGTCATGGGGCAAGAAGGTGGGAGGGCCAGCTCCCCACATCTGCCTCTGCTCCCCTGGCCTAGGGTGTGCTCTCCAACATCTCGGCGCTGACGGATCTGGGGGGCCTGGACCCTGTGTGGCTCTTTGTGGTGGTTGGAGGTGTCATGTCGGTGTTGGGCTTTGCTGGATGCATCGGGGCCCTCCGGGAGAACACCTTCCTGCTAAAGTTTGTGAGTATGGCTGCTGTGGGGACCCAGCCTCCTCCCATCCAGTCCCTGCTTAGTATTGGAGTAGCTTTATTATTATAGCACGATAGGAACCCTGGTTGCTCAGTGGTTAAGGGCTTGGCTGCCAGCCGAAAGGTCAGCAGTTTCAACCCACCATCTGCCCCACTGGACAAAGATGTGGCAGTCTGCTTCCGTAAAGATTCGCAGGCTTGGAAACTATGGGGCAGTTCTACTCCGTCCTACAGGGTCTCTGTGAGTTGGAATTGACTCGATGGTAGTGAATTTGGGTTTTTTTGTTTGTTTTATTAGCATAATAATTATTATATTCACATCACGTATATTTACTAGGATTCCAGTGGTCTAAGTGAAAAGGGTGTTCATTGACTCCTGTAATGAAAAGCTCAGGGGTATTCTGGCTGTGGAGTCCCTGGGTGGTGCAAACAGTTAACGTGTTCCACTGCTAACCAAAAGGTTGGAGATTTGAGTCCACTCAGAGGTGCCTCAGAAGAAAGGCCTGGCAATCTACTTCCAAAAAACCAGCCATTGAAAACTCCGTGGAGCACAGTTCTACTCTGGTACTCGTGGAATTGCTGTGAGTTGGGTTGACTGATGGCAACTGGTTGGTTCTGGCCACAAGCACATTTGAATCTAGGAGTCCACACAGTGTCATGAGAACTGGTCTCTCCATTTCTCAGCTCTAGGCCCCTCTGGGTTGGCTCCATCCCTCACGTGGTGGGAGATTGCCCACTTGCCCACCAGCATGTGCTGGCTTTATCCTGTGTCCCAGAAACTCCTCCTGGAAGCCAAGGCTCTCTCCCCAACTGTTCTACCAGAGTCCTTCAATTGAGTCTTCTTGGCTCTGATTGGCTGTCTCTGGACCAATCCTTGTGGCCTGGGGAAGGCAGTGCTCTGATTGGCAGGCTGTGACACATGCTTGGTCCTGTATCTGGGATGGGGTCAGGGAGTTGGCTTCATGGAACCATGTGGATGGATGGTATGTGCAGAGGGTGGTTGCTTCAAGAAAACTGGTATATTGATCAGAGGAAGGGGAATGGATGGGTAGGTAAGAACAGTGCTGCCTTTATAATACCATAAAGCAGCACTAAAATAAAAGTAGGTGGGGACTCTGGGCCTGTCTTGGGGTGGAGCTCTGCCCCATGGCCCCCCAGGTCTCAGGGAGTTATCTGACCTCCAACCCCTACCCGTCTGTATGCCCCACCCAAGTTCTCCGTGTTCCTTGGCCTCATCTTCTTCCTGGAACTGGCAACAGGGATCCTGGCCTTTGTCTTCAAGGACTGGATTCGAGACCAGCTCAACCTCTTCATCAACAGCAACGTTAAGGCCTACCGGGATGACATTGACCTCCAGAACCTCATTGACTTTGCTCAGGAATACGTGAGTCCAGGGTCCATCCTGGGCCACACAAGGAGGTGCCTGATGGCCTATGAGTGAGGGAGCAAGTACCCTGTGAGCTGGGACCACTCCTCACCCACTCAGGCCAGGCAGGTCCCTGGGGAGAGAGCCAGAGCCCCCATCTGAGGAGGAGCCAGCCCCTGGTGATCCCTGGGTGCACCCATATCTGCAGGCACACAGGTGGGAAACAGGAAGCAGAGGCTCCAGACTGTCAGCTCCCGGGGCAGGGTTTATAGCACCCTTAAACAGAGGGTTGTTCTTCTCTTAAACCTGGGCCCACAGTATTGGCTGCGGCTGTGTTGCCGTGGCCCCTTGTCTGGTACAGGGACTCTTCTGTTTGGCACTGTCCCCTCCACTCTGTAATTTATTGCACCTGCTGGCCCTCTTCTCTCATTTACAATACTTGTTTGTCCTCTGAACATGTTAAGAGTTTGAGACCCTTCACAGAAGCACTACCTCAAGTTTGCAAACCTAACCCCTGTGAAGCAGTCAGTGAACAGTTTACTAGATTATAGATACCTCTCAAATACACATTCACACTTCCTCACCCCCAGGATGCTGGTCTGAGGACAACTACTTCTCTGGGCCTCCCTGAGGGGTGGGCGGGTGGGTGTCGGCCAAGCCCCCTGGGGACAGGGCTCCACTCAACCCTGAGCCTGTACTGGTCTCTTCTGCACTCTCACCAGAGATTCTGGAAAGATCTCTTCTGTGCAGGGAGAGGAGAAGCCTGCCTGCCCCTTTTTCCCATCACCTGGTAACCATCCCCAATCCACGCCCCACATTGTCATCCTTTCCACACACATTACCCAGGACCTGGCTGTTGTCCTTCATCCCTCCTCCAACCCAGGACCAACATCCTTGCCCCCCTTCCCAGCACCTCACTGCCCCCACCAACCAGGCAGGAGCCTAGAGCTCTTGCCTCCTCCCTCTGACCCTCTGGACTCAGACCTGGCCTGTCTGCTGTGGAGGCCGGTGGACCCTGTCTCCCTGCAGCCTGGGCCTGTCCCCAAACAGGACGAGGCTCCTGGGAGGTGGGATGGCTGCTGGCTGCAGGCCTGACTCATCTGGGGCTCTTCCCCCAACCCCCCAGTGGTCTTGCTGTGGAGCCCGAGGGCCCAACGACTGGAACCTCAATATCTATTTCAACTGCACTGACTTGAACCCGAGCCGGGAGCGCTGCGGAGTGCCCTTCTCCTGCTGCGTCAGAGACCCTGCGGTGAGTGGGCTGGGATACGGGTGGGTGGGGGCATCTCGATGCACTGTCCCAGTCTAGAAACGCACCCCACACCCCCCACCGGGGCTCTGCTCAACTCTGCCCTGCTCTGGGCCATGGGCTTTGGGGATGGTGAGTTTATATGGGGTGCCCCTCCCAGGCAGGTGAGCCTGTGTCTGCAGGTGGTGGCTCAGGGCTGCTGGTGTTGGAGCTGCTTTCCCTCTTTAGCAAAACCTGTCTCTTTGATTGTGGTGAGATTGAAATTGTAGGACCCCAAGGGGTAGGGACTGGCCCAGAGGGTTCTGTGTACCCTGTGGGCTGGGTTCACAGCTCCGCTCAGGGTACTTAACTAAATGTAGCTCTCGCAGTGTTTGCACCTGGCCCGCCTGACGCTGTCTGGGCACTGGGAGCTGGCCTTGCTCCCTCAGCTGTGGGGGCATGTGGTAGGGATACCCATGCCCCGCTGGGCTGCCATGCCGGGCTGGAGAGGTGGCTTTCTTCATTGCTTTTTTCTGGGCAGACATTTCTCAGTGATTCCCTCCAGTCACTGTCATGTCTGGGACACTGAGGGCTGAGTTTCTCCCATTCTCATCAAACACCAGCAGGCAGGGTTTCCGAATGGGGGTGCTTCTAAGTTGGCCTTTTAAGCCGTGTGACCTGTCATCTGAAAAGTGGTACCAGGGCCTCAGCGAGCTGTGTTAAGAGCAGTGAGTGGTCAGAATCTGTGGCTCCATCTGCTCTCCTGAGGAGGAGGAACTTGGGGTGCCCAGTACCAAGGGGCCTGAGGGATCCCCGCTTGTGAGTTGCTCACTGGCCTGTTTCTCCTCAGGAGGATGTTCTCAACACCCAGTGTGGCTACGACGTCCGGCTCAAACTGGTGAGGGGCGGGGGAGGGTAGGGGGTACGTTGGCACAGGGTGGGAACAGGGGCTTCCAGAAGTGCCTCTGAAAGGCCTCAGGGCTTCTGGGGGGAGGCGTGCTGAGACCCAGGGGCCCATCCAGCCCCCAGGACTTGGCACTGCCAGATGTGAGGGGTCCACAGACAGGGGCACAGGTGGGTTTGCTCATCCCAGCTCTCTGTTGAGCCCCGAAGCATGCTCAATATTGTCTTTGATGCTGATTCAGACAGACAGAGCCCCTGCCCTCAGGGAGTTACATCTCAGTAGAGGGAGAGACAATAAGCTCTTAGCTGAAACCATCACCTAAACGGTCCCATTCATTTATCTAAGTGCTTGGAAGAAAATAACATCGGGGTGATGGGATGTAGGGCTGGGAGGGAGGGCCTTCAGGAGGGAGGGCGTCTCGGAGAAGGGCATGCCTATGTGGAGACCTTGAGAATAAGCCAGCTGTGCAAAGGCCCTGCGGTAAGCAGAAGGAGGGAAGGGAGAGCGAGGTCTGGAATGCTGCCTGTGTACCCCCAGGAGTTGGAGCAGCAGGGCTTCATCCACACCAAAGGCTGCGTGGGCCAGTTTGAGAAGTGGCTGCAGGACAACCTGATCATCGTGGCTGGGGTCTTTGTGGGAATCGCCCTCCTCCAGGTACTGCCATGGCCTCCGTCCCCCCTGCCACTTGGCCCTGCAGCAGCCTCTTCCTCACCTGCCCTCTGTCTTACAGATCTTTGGCATCTGCCTGGCCCAGAACCTCGTGAGTGACATCACGGCAGTGAAGGCCAACTGGTGAGGCTGCCACGCTGGTCACGGCTAACCATCTCACCCAGGCCTCTGGTGGGGAACCCCTAGGCCCCTCTGCTGTGCCCATGATGGGCAAGGCTGCAGGAGGTGTTTCTACTGGGATCTGAGCTCCCTGTGGGGCCCGTGGGTGTGGGGCACTGTCCGCCCATGGAGAAAGCTTCCTGGGCCGGGCCTGGCTGGGCTGGGTGTCCTGGATCTGTGTGTGCATGAGAGATGTGGTGGGGGGTGTGCATAGGGGAGCCAGCATCTGGGCTGTCACTGGGCTGATGGGCTCTCCAGGGGACTAGGAAGGGCACAGCTACGAGAGTCCAGGCCAGGGTGGGTAGGAGGGTGCTGCTGCGGGGGGTGGTCTGCCTGTGTCCCCCTGCGCAGGTGGGGATATCTCTGTGCACGGCTGCGTGGGGCAGGCTGGGGGGCCTGGTATTAACCAGGACCTTGCCTCATGCAACTTCACAGCTCACTTCTGTACTGGCTGTGACCTTGAGCCTGCCAGTAGCCCACTGTGGCCTCAGTGTCCCAGACTGTAAAATGGGTCCAAGAAATTTCTCTCTTTGCTTGCCTCTCAGGATCAAACGTGATGATGGCTACAAACTGCTCAAATAAACAAAACTTTGAAAACCACTGGCTTACACCCACCATCTCAGAGGTCCCATCGGCGGTGTGGCCTCTGCGGAGCTCTCTGGCCGCGACCCCTGACCCTACCCACTCTGCCCACCTGTTTTCTTTGGCCTGGGTAACATACATTTGAGCCGACCTTTAAAAATTGGTGTATTTCACATAGAGTCCAGATTCCTGGCTTCTCGGAGAGAATGACCATCTGGCCACATGTGTTCTTCAGGGGTAATATCCCCGGAACGTGCATATCCCCGTCCACTGGGGACCCTGCCTGGGCCATTCCGCTCCTTAAGTGGCTCGCCTGCCCCTTGCAGGTGGTAAGTTGGCACCCCCCACCTCTGCAGGGTTATTTCCTGCAACACTGCAAGGCTGCTGTGGGCCTGGCCTGGGGCAAAGCACAGGATACAGAGAAGGGGGAGGCTGGACCCTGCCCTAAAGAGCCTGGGAGGGGCTCGCTTGGCCCTGCTGGGTGCTGAGACGGGTGGCAGAGCACCTAGGAGATCAGCAGAGGGTAAGATGGGGGTCAGGATTTTTCAAAGGAAATAGCTGGCAGCCCAGGGCTTGGCACCCATGAGATTGGAGGGAGCCTAGTTTGGGGACCATGGTGGTAAGCTAGGCTCACTTGGGATCTGGGGAGAATCAAGTGCTGCAGAGCTGCCTCATCCCCACCAGAGGGCGCCCCAGCACAATGTTCCCTGGGCCTGGCTGCTTTGCTCCTGCAGCCTCACCCCAGCAGAGCCATGTGCCTGGTATTCACCTTGCTTTACGAAAAGCACTTTGGGTTCAGGGCTTTTGAAAACTACTAAAGGAGCATACTGGCTCGGACCTGGGAATTCTAGCTGCTGCTCTCAGCTGCCTGAAGGGGTGTGTGTGTGGAGTGTCCTTGTACCACTATGCCCTGGGCTGTGGATGAAAGGGGTGGTTGGGCTGGTTCACAGGTCCCAAATGCAGATGCCCTCGGGGCCAAGTGGGCTGTATAAATGAATGAAGTAAGCCTTTGTGTGAGGCCTTTGCAGTGCAGCTTTGACTCTTCCCTAGTAATAGACATAACAGACTTTGCTCTGTGATAAGACAAACGTTTGCATTGATGGCATCTGGCCTTGGGAGGCAATAGGCTGTGGTGGGGACTAAGTCAAAGCACCTCTCCATCTGGAGGTGGTGGCTGCTGCTGTTGTGTAGTTAATTGCTGTAAGGTAGGAATGCAGACCTCGTATCAAATCTGGAGAGGCCAGAAATCCATATTTTTATGTGAAATATCCCGATTTTAAAATGTTGGCAACTAATTAAAAACAGACTGCAAGCCAAACAAAATATGTGGGGGCTGGCTTTGGCCGCTGCGCTGCTGTGGATCCCTCTGGGACAGCCACTGACCAGGGCCCCAGCTGCTCTGCTGTTAAGGGGTGCTGGAATCTGCTGCCAGGTGGACAGGGCAGGGAGCATGACCTGCCATCGTGGCTCCTGGCACAGGCTGGTGAGGGTCCTGGAAGCCCCAGCAGGCGCTGGCCATGGTGGTGTGTACACGCTACAATAAATGCAGCTCAAAACTTAGAGTGTATGTCTGGCACCCTGTAATGTCAAATGCTTTCACTTTCATTGTCTCCCTCAAGTCCTCCCACCCACCCTAGTGAGGTGGAGGCTCTTGCTCACACAGCTGGGAGGGCACATAGACCTGACTCCTCTTGCTGGGGTTTTCTGCAGCATCAGGGTGAAACCCGCGCATCCAGAGTATCTGCCAATACGGGACAGTAATGTGACATTCCTTCCCCAAGCAAGAGTTGAGCGTGTGCCTAGATCCTCAGGATATGGCCGGGCAGTGGGGGCGGGCAACAGTCGCTGCCCTCCTGAGCTTGCATTCTAGTGGGTGGGCAGACAAGTAGACAAGCATTTTTGTTAGTAAGGTATGCTATGAAGAAAGTAAGAGTGAAGAGCTAGGGGCTAGAGAGTGCCTGTGGGTGCCTGGGAGAAGGGCCTCTTAATGGAGGGGTGAGGGGAGAGGGGGCGCCTCTGGGAAGCTCTTGGGAACAGTGTTCTAGGTTTTGATACCAGCCACCATAGAGACCCAGAAGTCAGGGTGAAGGACGCTGGAGAGGTGGGAGTGGGCGGGGGGCAGAGGCATGGACACAGGGAAGTGATCAAAGCAGGGTACATTAGAAATAGGATTGATGACATGGGAAAATGACCTGATAGGAGTGGTCATGAACTGTCCAGGGACCCAGGTGGTTCTTCAAGGCTCAGTTCTGCTGTAGAGCATCCGCCCGTCACACTCATCCATCAGTCCACTCACCCTATACCCGTCTATCTGTTTGTCCACTCACCCCCCACCCATTGTCATCCATTCAGGTAGGCCCTGGGTGGTGGCCAGGTTTGAGGCAGCTTTTTACCCTCTGGGAGCCCAGTCTTTTGGAGGCAGATGGGGAACGCTGCTAGTGATGTGACGTGTATAGTGACAGGCACATAATTGCTGCTAGATGGGATTTTAGGCTGGTTAGAGACAAATTTCCTGTCCCGAAAGTAGAGCTTGGAGCAGTGCTTTTCCTTGCCCAAGGAGCCCTTACCCAGAGGCACAGCCTCTCAGGATGAGCAGAAACGAGCAAACATGTAAGGCCACCTCCTATCCATCTCTGTAGGTGGGTTCCTGGGCCATACAGACCAAAGCCACCTTCCTACCCTTTGAGGATGGGGTGCACACTGGCAGTGATGAGGGTGGTCATTGGCAGCCTGGGAGACCTGGGCCTGCCTTCTCTAACCAGAGGAAGGGTACCACCATCAGTGGGGGGTGGGGGGAGTGGGCATCCTGTGACATCAGAGGGCCTGAGGGCTCCCTTCTTTATGGGGATAACCATGGCAGCTGTGGACTTATGGAGAGTGGCCTGGTGCTCACAGTCCCAGCCACATACCTGCACATATCACCCTCCAAGCCTTCTATTTGGTTATTCAAGAAGCATTGTTGGAGTGCTAGCTGCATGCCAAGCTCTGTGAACAAATCAGAGTCCTTGTCTCACAGAGCTGGCCCTCTAGTTGGGGGAGACAGGTCATAGATAAACAAGGAGTGTTATGTGGAAAGATACAGCTGAATTAGGGAAATAGGGACTACAGGTTGGGGGGATGTGGTTTGCGTTTTATACCAGAAAGGCCTCTCTGAGAAGGTGGTGTTGGACCTAAGAAAGTAGGGAGTGTGAGCTGGGTGGACATTTGGAGGAAGACCTTTTCCAGGCAGAGGGGACAGCAAGTGCAAAGGCCCTGGGGGTTGTCTTGGGACCACTTCCAGGACTGTCAGTCTAGAAGGCTTTACAGATAGAGCAGGCAGACAGGACGGGGGAACTGGGAGGGACCGAGAGATCCCCAGCTGGTGAGCACCTGGATCTGTGGGTGAGGGGGTCAGATCAGCAGGGGAGGCTTGGCCAGGTTCACTCTGGGAAGATGGCCAGGGAGGCAAGGCAACATGCCTTGGAGGAAGCCACTCCCAGTGACCACCAGAGGACACCAAAGCGCAGCTCCTACTCTGCCACAGAATGGGCCTGTGAGGAGGGAGGGGCAGCGAGATTGGGGACCATTGGGGTGCAGGCCTCTGTGAGACCTGGGGCTCATCCTTTTGATGCTGTATCCCTGTCTGGCCACCCTCTGCCCCATCTTCTTCAGGGACTTGGAGCAAACGGCGCCGCCTTCCCCATGGATGCTTCTCCTATGGCTCTCAGAGACCCCAGCCCAACCTTCCCAGCCCCAGCAGGTGGTGAAGTCTGCCTGACAGCTGGGGAGGGTGGGGCTCACTTTCTCTAGGGGCCGGGGCAACAAGCCCCACCACATACACCTCCATCCACTCAGAATTTACTGAGTACTTTCTATGTACCAAGCACTGTCGTAGGCACTTGGGATATATAATGGAAGAAAACAAAGACCCTGCCCTCATGGTGCTCACAGACGAGAGCAAAGGTCGGCCAATGTTTTCTGCAAAGGATTGGATTGCAGATATTTTGACTACCACATGATGCTCTCTGCTACATATACTCTGCCGTTGTAGCTGGAAAGCGGCCATACACGATACATAAACGTATGGGTGTGGCTGTGTTTCAATAAAACTTTACTGATGGACACGATATTCTTTTTTTTTTTTTTAAATTTTTTCAATCATTACAAAAATATAAAACCATTTAAGCTCTTGAACCATACAAAAACAGGCAGTGGCTGGATTTGGCCCCTGGGTTGTGGTTTTAGACCCCTGGATGAATCAAAGGAAGCAGACAGTGCACAGTAAGTATCATAGTGAGTGATGACCCGTTAGGGGTGGTGAGTGCTATGGAGAAAACATCGTGCATGTAAAGACGCTGAAGTGCTGGGGGTGCTGGGGCAGGCCAGGGTATTGACTACGGTGAGACAGGTCATAGATAAACAAGGAGTGCTATGTGGAAAGATACAGCAGGATTAGGGAAAGAGGGCGGGCCTTGTTGAGAAAGCAAGATAGAGCAAAGACTTTTTATTTTAATTCAAATTATTATTTATTTTTTTAATTAACATTTTTTAAACAATTAAAACTTTTATAGCACAGGTAAAATAAGAAACTCATTCTACTTAAAAAAATTAGAACATTATGGATAAAACTAATGTCCCTTTACCACCCCATTCTGTTCCCCTCCACTCTCCCCTCCCCCAGAGATCACCACAGACGGCTGTGAGATATACCTCCTTCTGGAACTTTCACATTTTTAAATTTAAATTTTGCACTTGTATTATGCATCCGTAGAAAGGCTCAGCCTTGCGCTGTATGTTAAATGGCAGGACGCCATCTTCATCCAGCTCACTCTCCTTTCCCCTCTCCACAATGTGGTTTGAAGACCGAGGCACATTTGTGCAGAGGACGCGAGTCCTTTCAAGTGACGCAGGGGTATTGCACAGCAGGAATAGGCCACGTGTCATCCCTCCATTACTGATGGTGACAGTCTAGCCGTTTCCACTCGGGAGCTCTTTCCACTCCAAGGCTCTGGTCAGAGGCAAAGCCGAGCCCTGCTCCTGGGGTTCCAGGTGGGTGGCCACTGCTCCACCAGTTGGGGGAGCGAAGGGCCACAGCAGAGGGCCCCGATCAGGGCCAATGGCAGAGCTGGCCCCAGCATTTCTGCTCCTCAGCCGGGCACTGGCCCCAAGGGCAGCAATATCGCAGTAGCGTGGGGCCTGGCCCTTAGCCCATCCAAATCAAAACCTACTGCCGTGGAGCTGATTCCGACTTACACCAACCTTATAGGACAGAGTAGAACTGCCCCATAGGGTTTGCTAGGCT